CGCGATATCATAAACGAAAATGAGGATCATGAACCTACCTCTATAGAAGAGTGTAGAAATAGAAAGGATTGGCCAAAATGGAAAGAGGCAATCAAGTCTGAATTAGAGTCATTTAAAAAACGAGATGTCTTTGGACCTATAGTCCAAACACCGAAAGGCATTAAACCAGTAGGTTATATGTGGGTATTTATAAGGAAAAGAAATGAACAAAATAAAATTATCAGATATAAAGCACGACTTGTTGCACAAGGTTTTACCCAAATGCCCGGTATTGATTATGAAGAGACATATTCTCATGTGGTGGATGCAATAACATTTCGATATTTAATATGTCTGGCAGTACATGAAAGACTTGAAATGCGTCTCATGGATGTAGTCACAGCCTATTTGTATGGATCATTAAATCATAATATTTATATGAAAATCCCTGAAGGATTTAAAGTGCCTGAAGCACATATTGATAATTCCCGGGAAATTTATTCAGTAAAGTTAAACAAAGCATTGTATGGATTGAAACAATCAGGACGAATGTGGTATAATCGTTTGAGTGAATTTTTAACCAAAGAAGGTTATAATAATGATCCTATATGTCCATGCGTGTTCATAAAAACCATAGGATCTAAATTCGTCATAATTTCTGTTTATGTAGATGATTTAAATATCATCGGTTCTCCTGAAGAGTTATTACAAGTTGTGCAATGTTTAAAAAAGGAGTTTAAAATAAAAGACCTTGGAAAAACAAAATATTGTTTAGGTCTTCAAATTGAACATCTAACAGATGGAGTTTTCTTACATCAATCTACTTATTTGGAAAAAGTACTTAAAAGATTTTATATGGATAAAGCTCATCCATTAAGTACTCCCATGGTAGTAAGGTCATTAGATGTTAATAAAGATGTGTTTAGACCTCGTGATGAAAATGAAGAACTACTTGGTCCTGAAGTGCCATATCTTAGTGCTATTGGAGCATTAATGTATCTTGCTAATAATACACGTCCTGATATATCTTTTGCCGTAAGTTTGTTAGCAAGATATAGTTCTTCACCAACTCGAAGACATTGGAATGGCGTGAAACATGTATTTAGATATCTTCGAGGGACCATGGATATGGGTTTATATTACTCCAACATGACCAAATCAGATTTAATTGGTTATGCAGATGCAGGATATTTATCAGATCCGCATAAAGCCCGATCTCAATCAGGATATGTATTCACTTATGGTGGAACTGCAATTTCATGGCGTTCTACAAAGCAAACTTTGGTTGCAACTTCAACTAATCACGCAGAAATATTGGCGATTTATGAGGCAAGCCGAGAATGTGTTTGGTTAAGATCGTTATCTCATCATATTCGGGGATCATGTGGACTTTCAACCGATAAAGATATTTCTACAATCTTATTTGAAGATAATACTGCATGTATAGCACAGTTAAAGAATGGCTACATCAAAGGTGACAAAACGAAACATATCTCGCCAAAGTTCTTCTTCACTCATGATCTTCAAGAAAAAGGTGAAATAAGTATTCATCAAATTAATTCAAGTGAGAATCCAGCAGATTTGTTCACTAAGTCTCTATCCAGATCGACATTTGAAAAGATGGTACATATGATTGGGATGCAGCATTTGAGAGATATAAAATGATGTTATTTCTAGGGGGAGAAAAAGATATGTATTGCACTCTTTTTTTCCTTCACCAAGTTTTGTCCCACTGGGTTTTCTTGGTAAGGTTTTTAACGAGGCGGTATCAAAACATATCTTTTGGTCAATAGACATTCAAGGGGGAGTGTTAAGAAACTTACAAAATAATGAATGTCTATATTTACTCTTCTTGTAACATTTTTGTTATTTAATTCATAAAATGTTGTTTTACATTTTTGTAAGCCTATAAATAGGCATGTGTAAACTATTTTTTAAAAACACATCAAAACAAGAAAGAAAGCATAATACAAATCAAATACCCTCCCTTCTTCATATATCTCTTTCTCTTCTTTATATCTCCTTTTAGTATATATAGTTCTTATTATTTTTACAACAAAAATTATTTAAATCTAATTAAAATTAATGGAGTATTGTTGAAATCAATAATGATTTTGATTTAATTAATAAAAATTTAAACTAATTTAAAAATATTAAAAATGACATGCGTCATACCCTGATTAAGTGAATTATACTTTTATATAGAAAGATATGATTATTACATATATAAATATTTCTTACGTATAATGTATTTAGTTATTATAAATACATAGTTTTAAATAAAAAAATAAAAACAAGATATACGAATGGTCTTTGGTAACATCAATAAAAATATATACAGACACAACAACACCAACTTGACTCCTTGGATTTTGTGACTAATGTATGTATAATTAAACCAATTGTAATGTGTATTTTTTCTTTTAAATGAGATTTGACTCTTGAAAATCACATAATAAAAACCTTCCATATTCTTAACAAAAAGGGACACGTGTCACACACTCCTTACACAAACGGTACTTATATATATATATATATATATATTATATAATATATTTTGATCATATCAATAAACTTTAGAGTCGACTAATTATACCGTTACGATTACGGTTGCAGATGATAAGGACATTCTTAAAGTACAAATACGAACGGGAGATAAGGTTCGAGAGGAATTAAAGTCGGGACGAGTAAAGAAAGAGGATGAGAGCATGATTGAGATTTGGACCTGACAACTACAAATGAAGGACGAGAAACATGCACTTAACACGGGTAGTGCCAGTTCTGAAACGATATTGAAATACAGATATAAAGTAGCGATTAGAAATCCACGTTTTATTGCGGTTGCGATTGGTTGCGGTTTAATCAATCGATTTTTCAATCACTTTTAACCGCCAAAAATCGTAACCAGCCCCCTAATGGCGAATCACTTCCTTACCATTAGAATCGAAGGACCACACGTTCTATATCACGCTTTTTCAATCGACAAGAACACAAAGACTATAACAACCATCATCATCATCATCACCATTATCATCATCAGGCATGGTTCATGAACAAAGCCAAACGACGAATCAGCTCAACGGCTTCATGGCAATCGTGTTCGAAGATGTGGAAAACATGATCCTTCCCTTTCGTCTCCACCATTTCTGCGGATCCTCTCCACCAGCTTCTACTCTTCACCAATCTCTCGTAGTATTCCTTCCCTCTTTCC